ATAGTTATCTGTGTTCTAACCTAACAATAAAGACATAAAATTTGAAATATTAAAATTACAGACATAAAAATTCGCTTATTTATGTATAGTAAATTTATCTATGTGATTACTTTTGTTAAATTACAGTTGAGAGACCTTTACCGGGTAGTTTAATCCTAGTAATAATATCATCTCAATGTATTCATTAAGAAATATCAGTTTATCCTCGCAGTGGGCTAGATTCTGTTCATCAGCCCCAGCGGAATTTGTGAATAGAAATCCAAGAAACCTAGAGCGTCTTCGAATAGCCCGTAAACCTGATGGATACCACTTAGAAAAGCCAGGGCGAAAATATTGGCATAAGTATGTATATAAGAATTTTTATTGTATACATTTGTTTTTGTTTTAATTATGTGTTTTTAATTATTATGCATCATAATATTTTTTAGTCTATAGACATTTGTATTTTGTTTTGTTTTGTTTGTTTGACAAATGTATTTTAAAAGAGATAACAATGGATTAATTTTATAATGTTTTTAAATTTTTAGACTTATTTTGACAAGGAGCAACAGAACAGTTACAGCACAAGTCATTCACTTTATAAATGGCCCTGTTATTGAAGCAAAAACCTCGGAATGGGCTTTAAGAAAACAATTGTACAGTATAACAGATACATGTGCTTATTTTAATTTGGGAAGAATATTTGCCCAAAGATGTTTGGAATGTGGTATCACTGAAATGTATTGTGATATAAAACCTGTAAAAGGTGGGAAGGTAGAAAAGTTTCTTAACGAAGTTGTCAATGGGGGTGTAAAGTTGGAGGAGCCAGATGTTTATAAGAAACCAAATCCTTGGGATCAATTTAGGCCTGAAAAACCATGGGAAGTTACTGAGTGAAAGTATAATTAATGTTATTTTATTTGTGTTTAATAGAACTGTTTAGGAAAATATTAATGTGTTTAAATACAAATGATATATTGTGTTAATTAAAAATTACAATTTTTTTATATTATTTCATAACACTGTTGTGAGACAAAACTGCATACTACTCAAATAACAGTAAAAGGTTCATAAAATCTATCTAATATTTTTTGATAATATTCAGTTATTTCTTCAACATTATCTTTCTAAATGGTCATTTCTTATGTGTTGCAAACATTGTGGCTTGTATTTACTGCCCGGGAGAAATAATTTACTGAATTTCGTGTTTTCTTTAAATATATGGGCATAATGTTATAGTTTATACACTAAAATATACTAAACATGTTTTTCTTATCTGAATTTATATAATATTATAACATTAGTGCTAAAAGCGATAGTAGTAATTTCAAAACAACATTATAAAACAAAGTGGTGGGAATTTAATCACCGTAATGGATGACAGTTAATAATAATAATAAAAACTTTATTTTCTCAAAAATTTAAATATACATGTCTGAGACGCCCTAGAGAGTAATTTCCATATTCGTATTGGGGAGTATATACAGTTACTAACTATAGATATTTGACATATAACCAGGATGGATGTTTTGCCTGTTGAGCGGATAGTAGTGTTTTGAGGAATATACCTACTTATTCTTTATGCTAAAACCTCAACCTCACACAGTGCATCATGCAATTTGACAATCAAGCTTTTCTATAAGATATTGCACAGAATTAAATTCTGTCTATTCTAACTATAATCTCAGAAATGCGGAACAGCAAAATTGGTACAAGTGTATCATATGGTGGTGTTCTGCCCCACATCCTCAGTTCCATGTAATATACAACTTACTGAGAGAAACTTTTCTTTTATAAAATCAAAGTAACAAACTAACCTACACTGTGATCCTGTAGTTGGTAGACACAGCTGACATTCTTTCACGTCCTGCATATACCCTGGTTTTTATTCTTTATTGCGTTCCTTAAAACAAAAGAATATAATGAGTGGACTTAATGCCTTGAGGCATTCTCTACCAGTCAAACCATGGAGTGGAGCGACTTTAACATCGGTGTAGCAATATAGATAAGAACACAAAACAAAAATTATAATTAACTACACACAGTATATATACAGGGTTACTGGTAATTCGACGTATTCCCGCCAAGGCGTGATAGTTGGGGTCATAACCTATCAAATGATCCATAAAATGCATTATGCAAATGTGGACCAATTTCGAGATATTTAGGTTTAATTATTTTTTTCAAAAATCCCAAAAGTCGTGTCAAAAATTTCTAAAAAAAATAACTTACAGCTGTATTATTTTCATTTTATTATTTTTACTTAATGAAAACCTGGATACTTATTTATCAATACTACAGTGTGCAAAAAGTCTCATCATTTTCGAAGTAACGCTACTAAAAGTACAACTTTTTCCAAACAGAAGATAAGTAATTAAAAATAAAAATGATTTTGTGAAAAATAATTGTATGTGATCAATTCTGCAAATCATGTTAAAAACATCCCTATTTATCTAGCTACCTAATGAAGTATCAATTTAGCTTGTAACTTAAATATAACTCGTACGAATTAACTTGAGACCTGGGCCGATGACGTAATTGTCAATTTACGGTGTGCAAAATAATGCGTCGTAATATTTTTTTATTTGAAATTTTTGAGATTTGCATGAGATTATTAATAAAAACAAAATAAAATGTTCTGGCAAGGGGTGAAGTAATAAGTGATATACTGTTGCCATTTTTATATATTTTAAATATTTATTTTTTATGATATATATAATATTATTTTTAGTTAACGCGTCAAGGAAGGACAAAGAAATAAACATACACACTTTCTCGTTTATAATATTATTTATTTATTTATTATACACTTTATTGCACTATAAAAAGTGTTACAGATTCGTACACAATAAAAATACAAAGCATAACAGGCGACCTTATTGCTAAAAAGCAATCTCTCCCAGGCAACCTTAGGGTGAAAGTGAATCAATCTTGGATAAGCGGAACAGCACAAACTATGTAAAATCAAGGAATAGAAGTAAGGAATATTAATAAGGATTTATTATAATATTTATTATTCATTGTCACTATATACGATCGGTTCTATTCCGTCCATTAGATCGTCCTCACTTTCACTCTCTGAGATTCTTCCCCTCCGAGGGATATAATTAATTCTCTCTTCAAAAGTCCAAACCAAACAACAATTATCAAAAATATCGAACTAGAGTCGAGACGCGTATCCGTAACAAAAATGCTATCGGTACTGAGCGCGCACGGCCAGCGCGGGACGCGGTGCGGGGAGTCGGGAAGGGGGTCGCATTCCAGCGGAGTCTCAAGTTAATTCGTACGTGTTGTAGTACAGAAAAATCTTGAAAAAAAGGGGTCAGGTAGACAAGTTCCGATGTGTTTTGGGTAATCCCAAACAATCGCTTCTCGGAACCTTATTAACAGCTGCGGGAATGCTCGTAAAAGATTGTGCGTTTGAACTTACGCTATTGTTTACATTTAGTGTGAAATTAGAAACAAGTTAAACAAGAAAAAACTGTTCAATCAGTCATCAGTATTACAGGCATCGTACACACGAGCGCATATCCCTCCCTGTTACACTTAAAGAAGTTGAGTTTCAAAGTTTTATGGCGGCGGAACCACCAAGACGCGGAGATCATGAGATCATGAGAAAATAATACCGTAAAACCCGCCAACTTTGGTTTTTAATTCTAACATTGGCCACTTGACAAAAATAACAAAAATTTGCTGTAGTAAAAAATATATCTCATATAGCAACATTTTACAACATATTGTGGAAAATAGAATATATTTCTGGCAATACCAATCATACGTTCGGTTACTAAGTTCACTCAGTTGGCTGTCAACAGTTGTCAAATAGGAGTCTCTGCCGGTGGTCCCAAATTGTTCCTCGAGTATAAAGCTTTTTCGCGCTTGAAAAATGATCCAGATGAGTGGAATTTTTGATATGATATTAAGTGAAATCTTGGTTTTAATATGGTGTACATCTCAAATCAATATGAGTCCTCTATTAATCAGTAATTCAAATGGCCAATGTAACAATCACTTGTAGCAAACATGTGCCGTTAACTTTGGCCACAGAAAAATAATACTAGGGCTGCCCACTGATAATTTTAGATTTCGGTACCTACCTACTCATGATTTGATGGTACTTTTTGCTTATAACTTAGTTTTACAATTAGTTTTGGTATAATACCTAGAATACAGTTTAAAATATGTATATTTGCTTATTATTTATGTCAAAAATCAAGAAAAAAAGCAAGAAAAAGTCGCAGGCGCCTTGGTGCTCGGCAATATAAAAATTATTCAAATGAAATGCTTGAAATAGTCGTAAATCTTGTTAGAAAAAAACAGATATCAGCAAGAGAGGCGGCGCGACAATTCGCAATTCCTAAACAGACAATATTAAATAAAGTAAACAAGTCTCATACAAAGTCTGTTGGATGTCCAACGCGATTATCTGATGACGAAGAAGCCAAATTTATTAAAGTTTTAATTGCTGCTGGGGAATTCGGATGCCCACTTAGTAAATTGGATCTTCGCCTCGTCGTGTTTGAATACTTGAAAAAGAATGGCCGCGGAAAAATTAACGGAGGACCTCCTGGAAAAGCATGTCTTGATAATTTTTTGTCAAGACATTCATCAGATTTGTCAGTTCATAGCACGCAGAATATTAAAAAAATAGAGCTGAGAAAGGGGTTGATGAATTCATGGAATATTTTAGAAATTTAGAAGTGACTTTGAAAGATGTTTCTCCATCAAATATACTCAATTTTGACGAAACAAATTTAACAGATGATCCAGGATCTTCAAAATGCATATCTAGGCGAGGAGTGAAATATTCCGAGCGAGTGCTCAATTCAACTAAAGGAGCCATTTTGCTGATGTTCTCAGTTACAGCGAACGGGAGCTTGCTACCTATTTACGTTGTCTATAAGGCAGAGTATTTATATTCTGAATGGATACAGGGCGGACCGCGTGGTACTAGGTATAACCGCATAAAATCTGGGTGGTTTGATTCTTTTGTTTTTGAAGATTACTTTAAAACAACTATTATGGATGGGGCAAAGTCTTTACCTGGTAAAAAGGTCATTATATGCGATAATTTATCAAGCCACTTAAATGTGAGTGTTATCGAATTATGTGAGTGTCACAATATTCAGTTTGTTTTCATTCCATCTAGCTCGACACACATAACACAACTCCTTGACTTCGTTTTTTTTGCACCACTTAAAAAAGTGTGGCGAGCAATATTACTCAAGTACAAAATGGAAAATCCCAACCAAACTACTCTGAATAAGAATCATTTCCCAAAACTTTTACATTCTTTAGTTGATCAAGTTGAAATATATTCATCTCAAAATATCAAAAGCGGATTCAGAGAAACGGGGATCTACCCATTCAACCCAAGAGAAGTAGTGAAGCGTGTACCAGAGTATCAAGAAGATGTGGCATCATATGGGATTGACAATGCATTGCTAGACTACTTAAAGCAGATCAGGCAGCCAAATCCTATGATAACAAAAAGAAACAAGAAAGTTATGACTGTACCTGGAAAATCAGTAACAGTCGATGATTTACTGCTGACTTCCCAACTCTCAAAATCGAATGTACGAGGCAAAGTCAAGTCATCCAAGAATACTACGACACTCACGAAGGTAGATCCTGCTGCCTCACTCGCAAGTGTCTCGCTGGAGAATTTTAATAAAATTACAATTATAACATTAGTTATATTTTAAACGAAAAAACGGGTCTCATGGAAGCCACAAAAAACACTTATTTAGTATTTAAAACTGATTTACCCGTGATTTCGATAAAAGACCAAGACAAGCTCAAAAAGATAAATATTCTATCCGACATCATTTTACCAGAATATAAGACTGAGCCTATTGCAAAAACTAAAACTAAATATACTTTAAAGAAATTGATACAAGCTTTAACATTTTATCACAAACTTTTCCTTCAGAACGCAATATTATCATAGAAAAACCACATACTGAAAATTTGGATGGTAAGGTAAGAAAAATAGATAATATTGCTTTTAATATTAACGTTCATGGTGTTTTAAGTAGTGACTATAATGAGGATATTATGGATGTTGTGAGTTGTTCTGCAAATAGCAGAGAGAAGACTAGCAGTAAAAAAGGAAGAAAAAACGTCGTTTAAGAAAAACTGTCAAAAAGGAAAACGTCAAACCAGTTAAGAGACCAAGAAAATCTCTAGATAGTTCTACAACTACTGAGGAAGATTGGATTAGCACCCATAGTGATTCTGACATAATTGAAGCACTTAGTGATGTTACAAATTTTGAAATAAGTATGGAAGAGTCTACAAATATTGATGAATCTATAAATATGGAAGAATCTATAAATATGGATAAACAAATAATAAAAGAAGATATACATCAAATTGACAAGAATTCAAAGAAAAAAGAGTATTATGAATTAGGAGAAAAAGTGTTGGTAAGATACTATCAGTCAAATAAATGGAAGTACTATGTAGGATTAATTGAAAGTGTTAATGATAATTCAAAAACTTTTAATATATCTTATTAAAAATGCATAAAAACAAAGGATTCGGATGATATTAAATTTATTAAACCTAAGCTCTTGGATCGAGATATAGCCGTACCAGAAAGTAACATTGTTAAAATTATAGAACTTTTACAATTCAATGAAAGTCCTGAAGAATATGCATTAATGTGTGATAAGGATTCTGTGTACTTTTAAGAATTTGATATTATGTCTTGTGTTATCACAAAAAGTATATTGCTGTATTTCTTTGGTATTCACTAGAATGTGTTATTTACACGCTCATTTCCTAAAGTTCCTAAAGTATGTTTTTCATTTATTATTTTTTGTTTTCAGTAGGTATCTAGGTTCTAAACAAACACTTTAAGCTTGGTACCTATTGTTATATATGTTTTTATTTATAAATTTGAGTTTTGTCTTTCACCTCAACGTGATGATTAAGTAGTAGAGATTACTAAAATGAAAAATGAATCTTTTTTTTAAGAATTTTGATCTCACAAATACGTGATATTAATTTAAGTACTTACTCATAACCATTTAATATTTGATATAATTTGATAGTCTATGTTGTTGTCTACTTGCTTAGTAAAAGTGCCATATTCTATATGCTAATATTGTACCAAATAAATCTCATATAATAAAATGCGATTGATTAAAAACATGTTTTTTTTTTTGTAAAACACCCAAACAATATATAATAATTAAAAAAATTGACAACCCTTGAGTCTAAAACTGTTTTGTATGGAAATTTAAAAAAAGTTTCGGGTATCTTTGGCCACCTCGCTGTAAGCCAAAATATTTAAACTTTTATAATAACTTTAATAATAGTATAATAACTTTTTGTGATTATTGCTTTTTATACATCTTCTTTGGCCAGTTTACTGTCATATTTCTTAAAGTAAACGGCATTGAGACTATAATTCAAGAGTTATAAGCAGTGGCTAATGTTGACAGAAAGCTGATGTAATTTTGGCCGACTAAAAAAAATACATTTTTAGGTAAGAAACTGTCCTAATTTTCGCAATTTCCGTGAATCAACATCAACAGTTGAGGTTTCTAGTGTTAAACAAATATGAAAAACTAATATTTACTAACAGTTTTTTTGGATTTAAAGTTGATTAAGTGCAAAATATGGCCAATGTTGGCAGGTTTTACGGTACAGCTGTAAGTTTTTTTTTAGAAATTTTTGACACCAGACTTTTGGGATTTTTGAAAAAAATAATTAAACCTAAATATCTCGAAATTGGTCCACATTTGCATAATGCATTTTATGGTCCCATTTGATATTTGGTGCTTTTCTGATGTCATTGAGCAAGGAGTTCCAAAGGCGTGTAACCCGTACTGTGAAAGAGTTTCCATAGAACTCGGTGAAGTAAACAGGAATACAAATTTTGTTGTTAGAAGAAGAACCCTATCACGAAATGAGCAGATTTAGTGAAATTTACTCTTAAGAAGGTGAAGCTGGGTATTTTAATATGGAAAAGAGACAACGATATTGAATGCATTGACAGTCAAGATTTTTCGAAATTTTGCATATTTCATTAAAAATTACAAGTTAGTGATTTTTTGAAGATTTTTTAGGACTACAAACGAATAAAGGTTATTACAATCACTTGCATCGTTTGTAGTACGCGTATCGATTTTTATCTTTATAAAAATATACGCGCACTACAAACGATGCAAGTGATTGTAATAATATAGCTCTGTGAACTTGGAACCCGAACTAAAAAAATTTAGTTCGGGTTCCAAGTTCACAGAGCTATATTTTTCCATTAAAAATTATTATTTTCGTTCATCATTCGACAAAATGTACCTATTTACCAAAAATGGCTAATAAATTACCGTTGACGCGATGCTTCAACGGGGCCCCTATATATCTAAACTATCAGGCAGACTTAGTTCTGCAGCATATTCAGTAAGAAAGATTAGGAAGTCTCACAAATGCTAAGACAGCTAGATAAGTTTATTTTAGTTCTCTGTAGTCTTATAGAATCTTGCTATGGGGTAATACAACTGCCATTGAAGTTATATTTGTTTTGCAAAAAAGAGCCGTACGGACGATTTATAACTTAAATTGTAAAGAGTATTACAGAATTTTTTTAAGAAATAAACATGTCAACTTTGCATCGCAATATTTACGAAAATGTAAGGTATATACATAAAACATAAATAGCTTCCATAAGAATAAAGATGTTCATACAAACATAAGCTTGTAATACCAATTACTAGACTCCACAGAATTAGTAATTCATTTATGTGGTAACGTATACGCTTTTATGTTTATGTTTTGTTAAAGAAAAATATGTACAAAAGAGTTATTATAATATCAAAGAATACATAAATGAAAATAACTCTTGGGAATGAGGCGATCGCCATCGCGCTGGTTCTACAAAATTTAGTTTTTTTTTTTATGGAAGAGGGGGCAAACGAGCGCGCGGCTCACCTGATGGTAAGTTACTACCGCCGCCGATGAACAACCGCAACACCAGGGGAATTGCAGGTGCGTTGCCGGCCTTGTAGAAAGAAGTAAGCTCTTTTCTTGAAGGTGCCTAAGTCGTATCGGTCCGGAAAATTCGCCGGTGGTAAACTATTCCACAGAGCGGTCGAACGAGGAAGAAAACTCCTAGTAAAATGCACAGTGGTGGACCGCCAAGCATCTAGTTGGTGAGGATGGCATCGAATATTTTGACGCAATGTGAGTTCATGACATTTGGCGGCTGAAAAAACGTAAAGGGATGCAAAATCCCTACGCATCGCCAGTAAATCAAGCCGATCAGAAAGAACTCGGCCGTCGACGATTCGAATCGCTCTGCGCTGGACCTGTGAAGTGGAAGGAGCTGGTACTGGAGTGCTACGGCCCAGAGATGAGAACAGTATTCCATGTGAGACCAAACTTGCGCTTTGTAAAGTTGCAAGCGTTGTGCCGGAATTAAATACTGTCTCGCTCTGCTGAGCACGCCAAGCTTTTTAAAGGCCAATTTGGCCTTATCCTCCAAGTGACCACGAAATTGCACAATATTCGATATGTTGACGCCGAGTTTCCGATGCTAGCTGAAGCAGCAAGGGGAATGCCTTGAAACTGAGAAGATACGACAAAAAAGATTTTGCAGTAAACGCGCAACCTTGTGTCTTCTGGGGATTAAAATGAGCTAGCCGCACCCAATCCGAGACTTTGGTCAGCAAAGCTCGACTTCAGACACAAGTTTGTCCCAGTACTTGGCGACGTTTTCCCGAGAAATATTGGCACGGCCGGTGTATAAGGCATCACCAGTGCTGTCGTTTGCATGTTACCAGTTTGCAACATATCATTGATATGTAAAAGAAACAGAGTTGGTGATAACACGCAGCCTTGTGGAACACCAGCGTTAATAAGCTTGTAATCAGAGCATGCACCGTCTACTACGATTTGATGCTCCAATCAGCAAGGAAACTGGTGATCCAATCGCACAATTTCTCGGGAAGCCCATAGGAAGGAAGCTTCGAAAGAAGCGCTTTGTGCCAGACCCGATCGAAGGCCTTCGCTTTATCCAAACTAACGGCCAATGCCTTCCCCTTGGACTCTACTGCCTCCGCCCATCTATGATTAAGTAGATCAGAAGATCACCAGCTGATCGACCACGACGGAAACCGTGTTGGCGGTCACTGATCAGCTGGTGATCCTTAAAGTACCTTATGATCTGGCAGTTTACCATAGACTACATTATTTTGGAGAACGAAGAGTTGATGGCGATAGGCCAGTAGTAGGACGGGTCTAAGCAATCGCCTTTTTTGGGGATCGGGTAGACTAAAGCTGTCTTCCATGAATTCGGGACTACGCCTTGGGAGTATGTGTACCGGAAAGACGCGTCATTCCAAAATTGTACAAAATAAATTATTGCACAGTGAAATATGTATAAGAAAACAGTCCCACTTGGTTTCTCGCTGATACTTCCCAGGACAGAGGTTTTTTTCGGAACCAGTGGTAAATAAAAAAATGACTTTCAATAAGAAAAGTATTATGCAATAATCTATATTGAATAAAACTCGTTCATTCATTCATTTAGTGGGTCTGAGCATGAGCGACGGAACTCCGTACGGTCAGTATTAAAGTGTGTAAGTACTATATTAAAAATAATGTGTGAAATGACGTAACACGCAGATGTTCCGAATTGATTATTTAAAAAATATTTTTGATTCATACTGTATCATATAATAAAAATAAATACATAAACACACACTCACGCCTGTCACCAAGAGGGGTAGGCAGAGACTACTGACTTCCGTTTGGCCCAATCCTGACTCACTTCTCTCGCCTTCTTTCATCCATATACATACATGCTCGTCGGTTAAGGGTAATAATAATAATAATAGTCTTTATTTGCATAAAACATGGTAATTATACAGATGTTTCAGAGTTTTATTATGCCCACATGTTTTGCTATTTTAATATAATATAGCATGCAAATTACATTTCAAATCAAGATAACCTATATAGTATTAAAATTAACAAATTAAACATGTTTATTTAAATTATAATTATGTTTTACAATGTCAAAATCTAGTTTAAAATGTCAGAAATTCATTAATGTCATAAATATTTTTGTCAATTAACCAATGGTACAATCTTTTTTTAAATACGTTCATATTATGTAGTGTTTTAATTTCATCCGGTATTTTGTTGTATATACGTACACACATTGATAAACAGCATTTACTATATTTAGCTGACTTCGGAACTTCGCTTAGAACTAATCTATTTGGATTTCTTTTAAGCCTAGGATTAATATTAGATGACTTTTTAAATAAATATATAACGAGGGCATACCCCACATTATTATACCATATCGAAGTATAGATTCACTATACGCCCGATAGCATAATATGGTCGTTTTTTTATTAGTTACATTTTTATGGTACGTAGTGCATACACAAAACGATTAACTCTTTGACATAGGTCCTCAATATGTATTTTCCAGTCTAAATTTCGATCTATAATTACGCCAAGAAATTTATTTTGTTCTATTTCCTTAATTTTATTGATATTTAGACTAGAATTAGTTTTTATTTTATTAAAATGTATGTAATTTGATTTATCTAGGTTTATTTTCATATTGTTTGTATACAGCCAATTAGTTATATTATCGATTATGTCATTTATTTCCTTTTCATGATTATGTAATGAATTATTGTTTTTTTGAGATGTTACAACTACGGAAATA